GATTTCTGCCATCGGACCAAAAAGGGATTTGCGTCCGACTGCATCTGGTACCGGACTAGTGCTGGGTGAACCACATTATATCATATTCTATTGTATTTTTAAAATATTCTATTATCTTATATCATATTCAATCATGTTATATTATATATTAACCCTTCTTTGGTTGTATGGTGGTTCTGAGAGCTCAGGAGCCGTGAGAAGAGTAAGAAGTCCCGATCCCGAAGCCGTCGGAAGCGATCTCGGAGCCGAAGTGAGCGGAAACGCCGCAGCCGGAGCCGCAGCGACCGAAAGAGACCGAGGGGTCGGTCTGGGAGTGACAGGAAGAAGGCGAAATCCAGGAGCAGGAGCAGAAGCCGGGATAAGAGCGAGAGAAAGGCTCGGAAATCCGGCTCCGGAAGCCGAGAGAAGGCAGAGAAGAAGGAGAGAAGCGAGGAGGACAAGAGGGAGAAAGCATCTCGTAGCAGAGATGCCGAAAAGGCAAAGGCAAAAAAGAGGAGCAGCAGCTAGTGACCTTGCGTGGTGGCAGCTGAGCATAAGCTCGTCTGTCGGCAAGTTGTGTGCTTCCGCTTCCCCAAACTTCCCTGTCCCTGTCACTTGATGACTAGTTTGGTACCGACTGGAAGTGAACCGGTCTTAGCATGTATTGCCAGGTTTGGGAAGGGAGAGAGCTGGACCGATAGCCCGTATCATGGAGCTTCGAATCTCAATGCGAGATCTCGTAGCTACTTGACATCGACGCGCAGGCCTCGCAAGGGACCCAAAAAGGCGCTTCTTTGAGCGGTGCACCTCATCCCACCAATCTAACAGCACACTCCAAGCCTTAAGTACAACGGCCTTGAAGTCAAGCTCCGGTAATCCTAATATCGGAACCTAAATACCTCCCAATGTTATTCCTTCGGGCTCCTATACCATCATAATAAAAAAATCCCCCGAGAGATGCTGAAATCCTTAAGGTCCCTGTATCAGTTCCCCGACGCCTGGGCTTCCCTCCGGCTCTTTACGCGGCGACAGGCGACGCTTCTGGCACAGGTGAAGGCGCTCTTCCAGGCCGATGCCCAAAGCGGCCGAAGTCGCCGTTTTTGGGTTTAGGGTTTGGGGTTTAGGATTTGGGTTTACTTGAAGGGTCTCGGGTGGTTATAGCGAAGGTTCCAAGGAAAGCAATCGTAGTTCCGTTCTCAAGGAAGGTACTTGTAACCCGAAGTCAATGACACACCGGGTCTAGGACACGTGTCACTGCACCCCCAGCGTAAACTGTAAATCCTGAAGCGTAAACCCTAAGCGTTGAGGCCGTTCAGAGCCCGCCGTTTCAAGCCACCTTTCGCCACTTGACTGGTGGGGCGAAGCGCGCAAAGGAGGTGGGTCTGGCTTATGACAGGGTTCCTTGTAGCATTAGTTTAGGGGCGCATTATGGATTATAGCTTTGAGCAGAGGCTTTATATAACTGTAGGGATGTTTATGCTGTTTGTACTTAGCTCTAGCGGTTCATTCTCGGGATGAACTGGCATTGCACTACAATGTACTATAGTTACACAATAATATACCGAAAGATACTACAACAATATACAACCTGGGGCTTTTTGCGGTCTCTGGCTCGTGGCAGGCCTTCCTTCTCCAAGCGGGGCTTTGCCTGAAAAAGGGCAGCCAGAACAACTACTGGGACCAGCCTGGGTCCAAGGCACCTTTGTCGCGCCGTTATGCCGTGGCCTTGGGATTCTGAGGCCGGAGCTCAGTGAGCTCGCTGGGAAGCTGCGGAGATCTTTCTTTTATGCCCGGGCCTGTGTGCTTTGGGTGTGGATGCGAGGTGCCAGAGTCCGATCCCCCAGCAAGCTGAAGTCGGTCGGTGAGGTCGAGGGCTACGGGGAGCTGATGGACGACTGGCTGCAGAGCCGTGTCAAGAAGCTGAACGAGGTGGGCCGATGTGCGCTTGGACTGCTTGGATTCGAAACTCATATGTGCAGCTTTAGCCGGGGGATCAGAATATGGTAACTTGTGACTCCACCCATGAACCTCCTTGCCCTCTTGTTGTTAGAAGCCTCCATTGGAGGCGTGAGATTGCACATTTGCGGTTCTAGCCCAATCAAGCCAAGCGGCCAGTGTCGCGAGTGCGAGATGTAGATGCACTCTTTCTCGTCGGAAGCTGCAACGACTGTGTCTTCTAGTTAGTTTTATTGGTCTGTGCGATGAGTCCTGACCACTCTGAACCCCAACCCCGATCCGTTTGTAATTACATGAAAACCAGATAGGCTTCGGGTGCGAAGGAGGGATCAGAACAGCTGAAGTCTCCTAGCAGCCCTTGTTCCGGCCGTACACTGGTCATTCTTCCGCAGTTGGGATCTGCATGAACCGGTTCTTCAACGACTAGCCGGTGTCCTCGTCTTCGAATCTGAGTTGAGAAAGATTGAGTGCAGGTCTGTGTGGCCCTGTTTTCCGGCAGGACTTCCTGCAGCGCGCCGTGACAATGCTTGGGAACAGCCTGCCAGCAGTGCTGACTCGGCTGCGGCAGATCTTCAGGAGCCAGGGCGAGAGGGAAGGGAGTAGGCAAGTGCATGTGGAGTGTTGCGCTGAAGTGCTCTGCTGTCCAACATTGTCTGAGCCCAGATGTCAGACGCTGACCAGGCCTGGCCGCTGGATTTTCCTCTGCGACCCGAGATTGGAGAGTGCGACTTGACGAATTGCCTCTTAAGGTGGGCTGTTCTAAGGTAGTCATGCTGTTGTTCCGTCAGAGTGGCTGAGTCAGCTTCCTGAAGACGTGATGGGCATCGGCGGACCAAGGACTTGATCAACTTGTTCGATGAGGACACGTTCCCGCGTCATGTGTTAACATCCACCACCATCACCCAAGTACTGGAACGAGTACCAGCTTTGGGTGGAGACGACACTCAGCAGCACCTTCCCATGTTTTCCAGCTGCGCTTATCGGGTTCTAGACTCAGGATTTCCACATCTACAACGACATCGTCCGGTCACCACCGCTGCAGGCGCCCCTCTCCAGCGGGCCCATGGATCTCATCGAGTCGGCGCTGATGGAGGTCCTACGCCGGCTTCCGGGCTTCCCTCCGCTGCTGCGCCTGCCGGGACCGGGCCACTACCGATTCGGCCGCGTGGAGGTACTCTTCCAGCTGGCCGGCACGGATTTGGCGGCACGAGTCCTCTCCTCTCCAAACGCAGCCCCAACGGGAGAGGTCCTGAGAGCAGTGGATTTCTTCGTGCAGTTTGGTCCACAAGAATTCCCCAATGCAGCGGTCGAAGCCGTCCAGAGCTCCGACTCCATGCACCTCTGCCCTACCACCGGCATCCAGGATGTCGGAGCGCCTTTAACCGCTCCAGGGCTCATACGGCCGCCCATGAGCTTTGCTGTGGCACCCATGGCCTTGCCCGCGCCCGGGCCCCCCGCTCAGCCTCTCGCTCCGATGGCTGTGCCCGGGATGGCTGTGGGCTTGGCTCCACCCGCCCCGGTGCCCATGATCCCCTTCGTGCGCCCTAAGTTCGGAATCGATGACGATGAAATCTAGATGCAGGATGGCTCTGCCCGGAGTGCAAAAAAGGCTTCATCGCCGGCTGCTGTCTACGCCGCTTCATTGATTCTACTTAGAACAGAAGGAGACTCTTTGGGACATGTTCCAGCCTTGCCCAATACAGCCCAGGTTCAGAGTCACTCTGGACGAGCAAGATGGCATTCGTTCGCTTCATTCAAAAAGCCTCAGCTCCTGGCGTGTCGCCAGATCCGACCGGAAGTTGTTGGCATCCTGTTATATAAGAGTCTTAGTAGCATGAGAGCCGCGTGACTCACAAGAAGCCGTGGTGTTTGCTCGCCGGCAGCTTCTTCTCGTTTCACTTCCAAAGTGTAAAACTCTAGAGTCCCGAAACAAAGCACCCGGAGCTTCGCGCACTCAGAGCTTCTCAGCGAGCCCGCGAACCCATGACCTGAGTCGAACACATCAGCAGCATGTATAAGATCAGATTTTTTCCAAAGACGCAGCGTTGATGGTGCCTACCCAGCGTCTTTCCTGATGGCGAAGGCACCTCCTCTCGTCTGCTTTTACAGCTTGCTGGACTGAATGTGCGATGCAAGTGATCGATGCATCCATAGCATCGGGAATGGATTCTGCAGGCTAAAGGCGTTGCGATCCGAAGAGATGACACTAGAAGAATGGAGGAGGAGGCAGTTTCTGCGGGCCAGCGGACTGGTTTCAGACTCGGAAGCAACGGACCAAGCAAGTTGACACGGTCCATCCAGCATCGGAATTCGGCTGCTCGTGGATGCACTCTGCTTCCCTTACAGGCAAAGCAGATGGAGGCAAAGTTGGAGCTGCTAAGACGCACAATGGATGCTTGAGCCTCAGGGCCGATCTGTTGAGCGCAGCTGGTCTCCGTCTCCATGATCTCAGGTGGCTGAGCAGTCCGCAAAGGGTGCCGGACTCAGAGCATAAAGAAGACTATATACTATACTATAGACTCGACTGTACGATAACATGCTAGAGTATACTCTGGTTTATTATCATGTATTATACTCTACTATACTGTGCGGGCCCAGCCTCTGGCACGAGCTGCTACTGAGGGGCGGATGCTGGAAGGTGCGAAGTGCTGGGCTTTGCTGCGCTGTGCCATTTTGTGCTTGCAGCAATTCCCGATGTAGATGCCCTGAGCAGTCCAAGGCCAGAACCCCGCACTAGTAATCTGGTGCGTCGTTGTTCCCATCATGTTCACAGTACCATCATTGGGGATCATGTTCTTGATTTCGGCTCCCTCTCCCGACTGCCCAGCAACTGTAGCACAAGTGTCCAAAAACATTTCAGGAGTCAGGTGTAAAGCTCCTACAAGCTGCGTGCAGGTGGAGTAGCGGAGCGAGTGGCAAGCCCCTCACAAAAGGCTACATCAAGAGTGTGTTGGAGGCTCGCAGTGACAGCGGAGCAAGAAAGCGCAGAACTGAGGCGTAGTGGCCGTAGACAAGAAACAGCAAGAGTGGTCGGACTTACTTGGACGAGCTGAAGCCTTGGCCACACCAATAGGAGAAGTGAGACAATGACAAACAAAGTAGTGCCAGTTCCAGCTACAAGAAGTAATAATAGACACGTGGCACTGGTGTTCGGGTGGTAGCAGGAGGTTCGGCTTCCAGTGGTCTGCCCGTGGTCACGGGTTGAGTCCGACCTCAGATTTTCAGATTCGGCTTTCGGATGACCATTATTATCGAAGAAGTAGCAACAGGCGGCAATAGTATTCCTATAGGGTTCCCTCTTGTATTTACAGTCAAATGTGCTACAACTCTAGTTAGCCGTTTTTCTTATGAGGGCCCAGGGTTCGGGATTTGGCACAGCTAGATTTTGAAGCAATGCTTGTGTTCAACTACACCGCCTCCTTCGAAGTTTCAGGCACGGCAAGTTTGAAGCCTTGAGGCACCAAGAAACAGCCTCTGAGAAATCTGGAAGTTCCAATCTCACAGAGTTCAGTTCTCCCTGAAGCCTGAAGCCTCTGAGTATCCCCTGAACCCTGAACGCTTGACTCACCCTACAAACTAAACCCTTAACCCGAAGCCCCCATGCAAAAAAACCCGGCCCCCGCCTCGGCCAAAAACAACACCAAATCCTACACCCTATAAATGCGTCAAATCCCTAAACCTTAAACCCGAAACCCTATAAACCCTGAACCTTAAACCCTGAACCTCAAACCCCACGCCCCACACCAAAAGCCAAGAGCATTGCCGCGAAGGCACGGCCCCCGAAGCGAAGCCCGAAGTGGCCAAGCCTCGCTTCCGCGAAGCTGTCGGGTTCAGGGTTTTGAGGTTTACGTTTTTAGGTTTGTGTTTTGGGACTTTGAGGAAAGCCCATCTTGCTGAGCAAAAGTCTTGCCCAAGATTAATTGTCGTGCGATTGCATTGCAGCTTCAGAGATTCTCGAAGCACTAGGTTCGGCTAATTGCTTTATCGTCTGAGGTTCTGAAGAAGTTATCACGCAGGGTTCGACACTTGTAACACACTCGCAATTTGCTGGTTGTGAGTTGTGGGCATCAGATTTGCACCAGTTATTAACGTCGTCTTTGGTGCTATCAATCTGAGATCCGGGATTCTGGTTCCGCGATTAAAGCCCTGTCCATGTTTCAAAGCATGCAGCAGAAAATGTAGAAGATCTCACACAACACGTATATGTGTATATCTATATATATATATACACATAGTTATATGGCTTATCTGTCTACCTATCTATCTATCCATCTGTCCGTCTGTCTATCTATCTATCCATCCATCCATCCAGCCAGCCAGCCAGCCAGCCTATCTATCTATCTATCTATCTATCTAATGCTCAGGCCTTTTGCATCTTGAATGACTGGGTCTATGGGTTGAGCTGACTGTATGACAGGTCGACGACGGAGTCAGCTGGCAATGACAGCATGCCACAGGGCAAGGAAGAGGCTGTTACATAATTAGCACTGAGACGTTTTCGGACTACCGTTGATATCTCAACAAGATACTCTAACTCTAACCACTTTCGGAAGGAAAAGATGGTTGTTCCTAAGCCGACGGTCATAGTGTGGTAGCGTGGTGCTGCCGTTGTCATCACATGTGCATTCGGCAATGTAGGTAGCACTGCAGTCGATGCGTCTGCAGGTGCCTCTTGTCCCGGCCAGCAAGCTGGTGAGTTCAAGCCCTTCCGGCGTTCCTGGCTCAGAAGCCAACAGCTTCCGGAATAAAACGAGAGACCCTCAGAATTTCTGATCGTACGAATGTTTCGTTGTAGAACAGCAACAACAAGTAGTAGTACTACTGCTACTGCCAGTACTGCTACTACTGCTACTACTGCTACTACTGCTGCTGGTGCTACTACTACTGCTGCTACCACTCCTACTTCGACTACTACTTCTACTTCTACGGCTGCTGCTGCTGCCAATGCTACTACGACGACGACGACAGCGATTGTACTTCATTCCATGACGCGGACTACTACCAGTACTACTAGTACTGCTGCGATTGCTTCGGGTTTCATAGTTAAAACGAAGGGCCATGGGCACGCATGTGGCAGCTCCGTTTTAAAGTTCAAGCTCTCCGCCGGGTCTGAACCTAGGTGCTTCGATGTGCAGGGTTTAGTCCGAGCGAATCCTGTCTGCTTTCGGTGCTATGCTGATAACATGACTGTGCCGAGGTCGGCGGAAAGGCAGCTGCGAATCTTCAGGCAGCTGTTCGACCGGTGGACCATACCAGACTGCGTAGCTGAAGCCGTACGGAAGCAGCACTAAAGCAAATAGATTCATCGTATGCGCACGAAACAGAGGCATAGGCGTTGCACACAGACTTCCCACCATCGTCGAAGGCCGCCATGTTGCAACAGAACCGAGAGGCCCTGGAGGTAGAGGCCTTCCGTGCATCTTTGCGGACTGCGACTTCAACGTGCAGACTGCATTTTGTGTTATACTTTGCGAAGTTCCCCTGAGCCAGGCATTCCTGTGCTCCTTGAAGCTCGACAGGTATGTCAGCCTCTTTATGGACTGCCGCTTCCATGCATGGCAAGCGCTGCACACAACATCGCACATTTGCAGAGAAGTCATGTCATGTTCCAGCCTGCACGGGAAGCTGCTATACACCTGCAGCTGCGGAGTGCTCAGCAGGTATTGCTCTTTTAGAGCAATGGGGCAAGCGCTGCAAGCATGCACTCCTGGTTGCGGGAACTGCGGCTGCTGCAGCGACTTAGGGGATGCCATCTCGCGGATGTACAGAGGAGCACGAAGGGAGCCGCGGCCTCGCACGCTGCAGCTTTCCAGGTCCTCCTGCTGGAGGAAGCTAAGGGCGATGCTGTGGTCCACGAGGGCCCTTGAGTCGCTATTGGAGAAGGTGAGGTGCAGGAAGATCGAGGAGCTCTACGCAACGGACTGGAGTGAAACCCCAACGCCGGATCGGTCCCCGTCCGTTCAGTGGCGAGTGGTGCAGAAAGTGTCGCGATCGCTCTCTGTGCTGGATGGCCTCTTGAATGAGGTTCGCTGCAAGCAAACAGAGCAGCTCTATGATTCCGATTGGAACACAGCATGCAGTGAGGATGATGACGAGACTTGTGAGTCGTTATAGGACGACAGCCATCTTCTTGCATGCAAATCGGGTCTGTGGCTTAAGCCGTGCAAGCTGCCGTGTGATGCAGATCCACGTTAAAGAAGTTGCAGCGACCAGCAAATCGCCAAAAGGCTCAAGACAGATTTGTTCGATATGTCCTTCTGGGGTCTGACGAGTGGTTGGTTTGGTTGAAGACCGAAGCCAACCATGATCATGTACTCTACTTGTGCGTTGTACAGGGCGCGATTGCCATGTAAAGCTTTTCAGCAGGTGAATAGACCCGGAGAGAAACAAAACACGCAGGAAGAAAACTCGTAGACACTACGCAGCCTCAAGTCTGTTCACCTCCCATAGCTTGCTTAGCCAAGAGGTTTGAAGCGTGAAAACATTACGTGACCAATTGGGCACGCCTCCCGGAGAGCCGGGTACACTTTCCTTGTGCCAATTCGACTGCATGTCTGCAGGATCTTTCATGAAGGC